TTTGCCAATTTCATCTACATACTCTAGTACTATAAATAAATTACTTTACTTACAAAAACAATGCTACTAGGATATCTTGAGAAATTCAAGCTTATTTACTGAATACGCGCGTGACGTCACCCTCACGGGTTTCGATTTGAAAACGGCCTATTGAATATGGGAAAGATATTTTTCTAATTCCCATTGTGTTTGTATTATTTTGTCTATCTCTGCCACAAGGTACGAATTACATGATAGAGAAGATTGTTTGTCTCTTCAGGGACATAGTTTATTTCGTATCTCTTATTATCGATCTTAATGGTATTTATTAACAGAATTAGTGAAATTCTATTTTCAAATGTATTTCAGAGCTCAGTTAAATTCAGCATGAATGCGAACTAAGCGATTAAGCTATCATAAACTCAAGGAAGTTTCATCGTATTAAGAGATCGGAGTATATATAACTATTTCGAATACTTGGTTATTCAATTTAAACTTAACTTAAATATTTTGAGATTCGCTGACAAGTCAACAAACAAACTAGACAAGGGAAACAGACGTATAGAAGACAAATAAAGAAATGTTTCGAAAAGTTACTAAGGTATAACGATTTATTCGGAAAATCTTACTCAATGCAAGCATATAATCACTGTTATCAGGCTCCATTTCAGCCTCGCCGAACTTCTATTTATCTGAATCAGCCCGTCAACATTATCACTTAAGATTTATACGTGAAAACCACATTCCCATTTTAATGTGAGCTTTATTTGTTTAACACTTGGGTAAAATGTATATTATAATATACGAAAGTTATTATGCGTCATTTACATATTTAAATTTAAGACAACAATTAAACGGAACTTTTGATTAGTAGTCAGAATTTGTAAATTTTAGGTAGAAGTGTAAACTTCTTTATTTGTAGGAAAAAAAGGGTTAACGTACTTTTTGTTATTTATTTTTTAATTAGGGATATGTAAAATTAGGCTATGATAATAGTGTACTTGTTACTAACAAGCCTGTATGATATCTAAAAGTCCACCAAAAGTTTAGTAGTTTACACTACACAGGTCCTAAACATTAATTTAGGTTAACTTAAATGAAATATTAAAGAGTTTAAACGCGAATTTATTTGATAAATATCACACGCAACAAGGGGGTTCTTCTTCTGCTTTATAAGCTATTACGCAAGGTCATGCCGGTCTTGAAAAGCCCTAACCGATATTTCTCCTTGCTGCTTCCATCCTGCTCCAGCTTGTGTTCGGGCATTATAGAAAACATTTCTAATGCTCAGTTAAAAACGTAATAAATTTGCGTTAAAGTACATTTATAATATATTATAATGGATATATAATAACTTAATAAAATACAGTATTCTAATACAAAACTCATATTTTAAGTTATTTTCATACAATCTGCATAATAAGACCTAAAACTTTTCGAACTGTAGTCCCTATCCACAGATGTTTATTTAAGTAAATCTTTCTTAGCTTTTACAATATCCATCGAATTAATTGAATGAATATTTCATTTGGTTCAGTGGTTCGAAGATAATTACATTATGACATTAATTACTACCACTATCAGAAGCGTTAATTATAACTTATCTGTATTAAATATCCCCTATTACACAGAGCATACGTTATGAAGAATCCGAAATAAATACAAATTAAAAACGATTACGGTTAAATTTAATTTTATGGATTATGGACGCTATTTTTAACTTCAAAAAGTCTATGGATGTTATCAACTCGACGTTCTTTATTATCTTGTCTTTTTCCATTCTTCTTTCAAATATTCTAGCTAGATTTTTTAATAATAATGAACGAAGAAACTTTTTTAATTATTTAATAGAATTTAACAAAAATTTGTATGGTTAACGCAGGAAAAACGCGACAAGCGTGAAGTAATAACATCTACATACAAATTTGTTTGTCGATCAGAGAAGGGCCTTACAGCGTCGTAACTTTATTTCATAAATGCGCTAATGAACTCCGGTACATAAAACGTATACTTACTCGAAAAAAAATATCATTATATTCTATCTAATACTGTTCTTTCTAATTCTTTTTGTATCAAGCTTAAACTCCAACATAAAATGTGATTGGTATAATTTTGATCCGAGCTATATATAAAGCTATTGAGCCACCCGCTATATGTAGAATCGTATAGTTATAGTAATTGAACTGATATCGGCAATTTCATTAGACTCTTCTAACACAAAGGCAGAGGGAATCGTTGGAGATAAAAGAGCGATTGTCTCACCTAAATAGCAGTGGCGGGTCTGACGCTGATCGCATTTTAATTGGCCGTGTGGATTTCAGAACGTATTTAATTAATAAAATAATTATTAAAGTTAAACGATATGATTCTCCTTAGTAAACTAATCCATACATATTATTGTATTAATCGTCTTCGTCTAGTTTTTTATCAAGATTCAATCGTCTCGGTCATGCGTTCGAACCCACGACCGAGACGGTTGCAACCCAGGTTGTACACAATTATTTTAGTTTCAATATTGGCTCATACAATATAGGAAAACATGTAATAGCATATCAGATCCAAAAACCAACGATGGCACAAACGTATGACCTCTTGCCTACAAAGAAATAGATATTATATGATACTTTTTATTAAGGTAAATGGTCCATCTATATTATTAATAAATAATAATCAATCTTTTTCGTTTATTATATGTCTATAACAGAATTTCTGGTAACGCAGGCTTTTTATAAGCTACTATCCAAACGTTTTACTAACGACAGACTCCAGCATTAAATTAAGCCTTAAATGGCAGTTATATTTTGTTGTTATGCATTATTTTGGTGAACTGTGGATGATAATCAATCAAAAAATTGAGTTATCAGTGGTGTCATAACCGTTTGGTTCGATGGTCAAGGCTTCAGATTTCTGAATCTGTTCTTTGATCATTTGTTAGTCTAATAGGCATGTAGGTGATCAGCCTCTTGTGTCTGACAAACACCGTCGACTTTTTGGGCAACGAGAGGAAACTCGATGTTTTCCTTCACCGTTCGAGCGATTGTTAAATGCACACATAGAAAGACAGTCCATTGGTGCACAGCCGGGTATTGAACCTATGACATCAGGGATGACAGTCGCACGTTGAAAACACTAAGCCGACACTGCTACACTAAGGATGATAATCAGTAAATCAAAATATTTTTGCTTAGTAAAATTTAATTTATCAGATAGAATAAACTTCTATTCAAAATGGTGTCGCTTAAATCGCGCTTTTATCAGTGCTTTCGTGTTAGAAATTGTAGGAATGCACAACTCGATTCTTATCTAAGCACGTGAAAATCTATGTTAATAGCCTTTACAGAAGGTTGCACTGAATTAACAATGCCTTCCATTCACGGTACGCTGACCATTCGATTTTTTAACAACTACCAAGCATATTTAACGATCTACACGAGCAACTGAAATTACTCGAAGTGGTTTTCTAATTTTAACATTATTTACAAAATTAATTTGTAAATGAAATTTGCTAAATAAAGCTATGACTATGTATGATGTACTATCGAGATCTTCTCTTGTACTTAAAACGTAATTTTTAGCTTATAATTCTAAATACCTTCCGCAGTAAAAATAGTTAACTTTGTATTAACTGAGATGTCAAGGAGAAGAACTTAACTTGCCTCATATAAATATGCAATAAAAATAAAAACAATTCGACAGCCTACCAATTTATATTACTTTTACTAGATCAAATAGGAAAAAGAAAGTGAGTACAATTTACTTGAAAAGCCTAGGGATTGATCGTACAATAAACGTCCGATGTATTGGTGTAAATCAAGAGGTTTATGAGTCTTACCGCCAGTTAGTTGCTAAATCACGCCTACTGCAAAAGTTATACGAGATAGCGTATCTAAAGAAAAAAAAAATGTAGTTATTGCGTTTGCATGCCTAATCTGAATACGAGCTAATTATGTTTTGTTAAATAATAGTTAATAAAGGTAAATGATAAAATATTTTTTTAGGTCCCCTATTCATAATTTAATATTCTGCTTCTTAAAGTCGTCGATTTTAACATACTCGAAGTATTACGCATAAATAGAAATAAAATAAATTTGTATACGTAAGTTAAATAAATATTTACTAAATCTACTAAAAACAGAAAAAATACATAGATAGGTTCTATCGATCTATGTTTATAGGATCTGTTTTTTTATAGATATCATCTGATTTCCCGCCACAACTTTTGTTTTATGTCAAAAGTCAAGATCTCAAACTTTTATACCACTACTAGTAAAGCTTTTATCTTTATTGAATACCAAATATACTACAATTTACAGAATTAGAAGGCAAGATAAAAGAAAAACATTTGCTGTTATGTGGGAATCTATTATAGTTTTCATACGTATTTTGTAAGGTCACAAATAGATAGATATGCCATGATATGGTAGAATAGGGCAGAATATGTATTTTTTACAAAACAACACCTTGAAACTACAAATCAGTATGAATATTTAATTATTGTCAGTTGATTTTTCAAAGAAAAATAATATATTTTGATTGAAACCTATGTTTACCGCACCCTTTAATAAAACACTAAAACATATACGACATGATGATGGTTATGAAACTTCATGTGATCGATTTTCAGTAGGTACATATCTCATAATTATTAATGAAAGCTGACAAGTGACCTTAACATACAGTTTGATGCCGTGTAAAGTATTGCTACTTTTTAAATAATTTCCTAAGTACTTTGTTCAAACTTTACAACAAATCAAGAAAACTTAAAGATTATTTACAAATACCCAAGGCGATAACTAGAAATGTACATTAATTAAAGGGTAAATGAATACGTGTAACAATATAAAACTCCGTCTTACCATAATGTTTACAGTAAAAAAATTGCGTATTCAACAAACTATAAAAAGCATAGTGCGAGAGAGACAGAAAGTTAGAACATAGCCAAATTAATTCTTCGGCATTTAACTAATTAGTTATAGCGAAGTAAATAAGTGCGAACGGGATAGTTGTGGCACGCATCCAAGATGAATTTGATGTTTCGGAAGAACTTCAGTACCGAGAAGACGGTTTCGAGCGGAGGGGGTGGGGGGAAGGCCAAGGGGGCATTGGGTGCAGGCAGGAACGCGAAACGCAGGGATCGCGACCGGTTCTCATGCATGGAGGAGCATCATTATAGAACCCACCTTTTCTTCTCCGCACCAAGGGCCAGTACACAATACAACGAAGGCTCAGGTAACTCTGGAAGTAAGGATCGTAGTTCCAATAGTGAGTACGTGTGATCAGTGTGGGTTCCGTACAGTAAGTTTCTTTCATTTCTCAATACGGAATCTAATAAATGTTGTCTTTAAACTCAATACGAAGAGCATTTTGAGGACTTCTCTGTAATCTAATCTAATACTATAGTCTAAAGAGTTATTTTGACATTATTTTTTTGTTTTATGACCTACCGTTATGAAAGTAATTAACAAGAAGCTGTTTATAAATACCTACGTATATCAACAGACTGTCGCTTACCAAATGTTCACGCATGACGTAATTGGGCCAAACTGAGAGACGTGTACATACGAGTATGTATATTATAATAAGAAAAGTTTTACGTACTATAATTTATCTAATAGTATATTATGTACTTAGCTTGCTAGGAATACAGTAATTACTAATTAGGCAGATCTAATGAATCTGAAAAAATGCTTAACATCGAAGCAAATATCTTACAAAACTTTGGTGATATATGTTTCTATCTCGTAAAATCAATATACGCCTTTAAATTGGTTGGTAAAAAGAAGGATTTGTTTGTTATTCTAGGTGTGTTAATGGGCCGTGCCTAAAAAAGCGATTCGTGCAATGTAGGTACAATGAAAGTTGAAACACGCGTGGAAGTTTAATTATGTCCAAATGAGTTACGTATTTTGAATAATAGGTTTACTTTACGCTTTCCGTTATGTTGTTTTAGGATAACAAGGAAAATAACTTAAAACTTTTATCTAAACCTTTGGTATTGTACACACGTTTCTATGTTAATAAAAATATCAAATCGTAAGTTTCGATATTGATATGATTCTATCAAATCATGCAAAAAAGCTAGACAAATCAATCACGAAATAGATAAATAAAAGTACCAGGCGCCCCAAGCGAGCCGCTCCTTATAAAACAATTGACTCTTGCATCAGTTTAACCGTTGGAGGATTATTTTTCAAACTCATAGTGGAGTTTGACAAATAATATGAAACATAAAGCGAAAATATTTTTATAAAAGATGTTACAGCACAGCACTTCTAGTGATTAATCGTAAAATTAAGTTTCAGTAATTAAAACTTTCACGAAGTCGCTATAGGGCTTGTTACTTTCAAACTTGCCACTGTGCTTTACTTTTCATATTATCATCTGTTCTAGTACAAACCACCTACGCCCTCTCTCACTCTTACCCTTACTATGTGAAGAAGGCAGGTTACTTACTTAGTTTATTAGACAGGCATAGACAAATGATAAAAAAATGAAGGGACCAAGCCTAAAAAGTTATCATCCCGCAATAGACCTAAACGAGATCCTTGACGTTTCAGAACGATGTGGTCCTGTACTGGGTGGGGGATCAGGTCCAGAGTTGGAGCCCCCACAGCCTCTGGTTACCCGGGAGCCATCCGTTTCCTTGCTACGATGGGACAGACCGACCACTACGGAGCGCCGGCGGACGGAACCTGTCTCGCTGGCGACACTGGAACGCGATTGCTTCGTAATTCCAGCTCATGCCTTGAAGCGATTCCTACCTGATGGTGTTCCGGTATATTTCCTTATGTTCTAGAAAAACATACTGTCTTTTAAAGGCACCCAAATTAATTGGCAATTCAGTTAGAATATAAGATGTCGTTTATTAATTTTAGTATACGTGTAGTATAAACCTATTTCTTTATAACAGTGAAGGGCTTAAGTGCCTAGATGATATCAACCCGTTTAAATATTATCTTACGTTATTGTGGAAAAAAGTAATAATACAAATTTTGTTGATAGTAGACACAAAATAAAATTATTATCTCAACTTTTCAGTTGCCAGTGCCTCCACCAACACCAGAAAAGGGGATGCCGACAAAAACAGCTCCAAGTTCTCTAAGCGTTTTAGAAGTAGCAGACCCAAAGCTTTGCATCTTAGCTCACCTAATGAGCCCGCTAGAGGCCATAGAACCTATATTAGAATCTCCTCTCGCCAAACCCTTAGTTAAGCAGAAAATGGCTGCTGGAGAGTTATTAAATGACGTAGCACAAGCAAATACCGCCGTAGGTGGTATGCTCTTAGCCAATATGGAGAAAAACTCTGAATTCCCATTCATATCATACTATGTAATAAATACGACACAAACAGATCCATTGTTATTCTATAATAATATGAGGTGTGCTTCGTTGACTAAGTTTGATCCTAAGACTATTCGATATTCTGCAGCTCATACATTAGATTTATACAGTGAAGTGGCTATGATCTGTCGACCACCTTTCAATGACCTGGCTGGTGGACCAAAGAAGTCACATACGCCTACCACAGGATTTATCATAAGTGTGTATAAGGTTAGTGTCTCCTCTAATGGCAAAAAACAATTAAATATAAAATATACTTAAGCTGAGAAGTTTCATATTTAACCTGTCATTTAAAGTCATTATACACAGGTTTTTTTATTATTAATAATAATACTCTACTCCCCTGCCATTGTGTCCAGGGACTTTTTCTATCTCTCAAATTTTTCCAAAAAACAAGATACATTATATTAATTCCAATAAACTAGTTTACGAATGGTGTGTTACGCGTCTCGCAAAGTACACCGGTAATAAGTATTTTTTTTACAATATTCACGGGCGAGCCGGGGCGTAATTCCTCGCGAGACCTGCTTTGTTTGCAGCCTTTATATATTTAATTTTTTTTTCGCAGAACCGTTCCAGGCACGGTCTGTGCTTTATTAACGTGTCCTGTAGGCCGTTACGGTCTACAGTCATCGGAATTTGTTGCTCCAGGTCGTGCCTGGACGATGCGAATATAGGGCAATGTAGAAGCACATGCTCTACTGTTTGTTCTTCATTACTGCGGGCACATGTTGGGCTTGTCCTTATTTATACACAGGTTTTAACGGTGACACCTTATTGCTTAACTTTAGTCATTAACCTTCCGAGGGTTAAGTACTAAAGTAAAAGCCTCAAATAAAGTATGTACTGAGTTCATCACCTTTAAGTCTTCCTTACTACTTCCTAACAATAGGAGTTTTAGTCTAGTAATTAATCAACACAAAAAACAGTTTTACTATAAAGAAAACTGGCATGACCTATGACCGAAAGATCGATGTTTCAGACACGGATCACCTACATGCCTATAATAAAATAAAACAGATATATAAATAGAACCCATAGTCCTTAGACCTGTAGTAGATTACCTGTATTATGACTAAACTCAGATTGAATACTTACACTTACTTACATTCCTACTATTTCAGGTTTTCGAAGGCGATGATGGTGAGCGATTTGAAAGAAACTGGCTTTACTGGACCGGAGCAAGAATGATATATCGCCATCTACCGCACTCCGTCGGCTTGCGGAAGATTGCCCTTCATAAATCAGTAGCCACCCATGGGGATAAAATGTACCTGTTAGTTTGTGAATGCGCGAATTTGTTGGATGACCTGTCCGGCGCCGCAATGTTAATTACAGCCTTGCGAGCTAGGCTGTGTGGTTACACTGGGCTTTATCGACCCATACAGACTTTTTAGTACCAGCCTAGGCCGTAAGGGCCACGTTTTTATAGCTGAGATATCTTTAGGGAAATTACGGATTTGGTTGTGTTTGATATCTACGTAATTGCGATAACAATAATTTAAAAGTATGGTTTGACAAATATATTTTGGAGAGAAATAATCGTAGTGTTAAGTGTGCGTAAAGATCTCGTACAATAGTTTGAGGAAACGAAACATTAATTGTTGGCCTACATATAGTATTCACCAAGTATGTTAATCATACTGTAAACTGCCAACCATTATGACCTAAATACTATATTATTTGTAAATGCTGTAAAAAGGACCAAAGTACTACGTAATGCGTGATATCTTAAAAGGCGATAAATATTTAAAAATTAAAACAGACTCCAGTGTTGGTCGCAGTTGGTGCCAATGTCTATTAATTTACTTAGTTATAGATTATTATTCTTAATTTTATGTAAAGTAATTCAAGTATTAAATTTGAAACCTCAAATTGAAAATTCTTGCACTCGCACAACGTAATTCTTTTCGTAAAAAAAAGTTGAATTGTTAGTACTTTCACCAATATTTTTAGACAATACTGTAGATATTTAATTACGTAGTTTAAAGGTACATCTGCTTTAGCACTGCCTAAATATTTAAGAATTTTAGCTTTGGTAATACTATGGTAAGTTGGTATTATACAACAAACATAAGTTTCAAATAAAAAATAAATTCATTTTCTCATTTTTAAGCATCATATTCAATTGAAAAACATGTATTATGCATCAAATTCACCACATATCTGGCAATACATATCAGAAATGAATACATTCAGTGATTTTAAAAGCCAAAAATATTTTAGGATATTTAAGTTAGTAAACATAAAAATGAGGAAATGTTTTTATTTTAAATTATATCTACTTTTTAAATATAATTTTTATATACAATTAAATTTATAATTTAATAATTTATTTATATGTTGAAAGGAAAAAGCACCTTGAATGTTAAGTTTCTTTATAATTTCTGAAGTATCTGAAGAACATATATTTTGCTATGGTGCTAAATTAGTCAATTTAAGTAGGGATAGTTATTTAAAAACTTAAATAAATGTTACACAGGCATAATAAAGCTTTTACGCTCAACAATTATAGCTCTGAAAATGTTGCCTGATAAACTAAACCTTCAAAGGCAATATAGGAAATATTGTACCACTTTGTCTTGTTGCACAATTAAATAAAAATATGAATCATTCCATATTGCTATAAAATTGACTACATATTTTCAACAGTATTTCAGTCTTAACAATATTTATAAAGATACTCACAGAAGCCTTTATTACACTTTTAATCTTGTTATAAATCATAGAGCTTTTATGATATTTGCAAGTAGATATTTATGGTTCAATTAGCTTTTAAAGCTATTTTCAGGCCAAGTCTAAAAATAAGTATTTCAGTTATTTTTATAATAAAGTATACAGATAAAAATTGTTTTATTTCATATATTCAAAAATGTAAAATATGATTTATCATATTTTATAATAATATAAAGGTTCTCCAGGCCCACTCAGCAACAGCAGCTTACCTACTTCTATAGACTTGCCTGTTCATAATTATTATAGTGCACATACGGAGTATAGATGTCGACAAGGATGTTGTAAGAAAAATCAACACACTAACACAAGACCTTGTGCTTTGCAATTGAACATTCTAAGCACTAGACATATGCCTCAGTAGGCAGTAGGCAGACCACATTATATTAATTTCATTGATCTCAGAAAACGAAGATCATAGAATAATTTATTTTTGAAATTATTAAATTTTTTTCATTGTTAATAAAACATACTACGGTCAAAACCGTTTACGACAACATCGTTTATATATTGGTTTATAATAACAACGACCTCAGCTGTTATGACTATCAGTTTTTAAGACCAAATATGAGTAGTCCCTTCGATGGTGTTATAACAGATTTTTACTGTAAATATGTACATTTTTAGATTATAATTCCAAAATTAGGATCTTAATTACACTCAAAAATGCATTCCATAAGTAACAAATTTATATTAACTAGTAATACTAAGTAACATATTAAATCTCGCTAGTTTCTCATACATATTAATAAAATCAATATCCTTTTAAACCCCTAAATCTTCTTCTATTATCCAGCTGTAACAAAATGAAACTGAAAGAGTCTGTGCTAAAAGTGAACTGTTATGGCGGATAGGTTTGGACAGTATAATTCTTACTTGCTTTGTTTATTCTATATATACACTAACTAAAAATTAAATTAAAAAAAATTCATATTAGGTACCAGGATGATTCCTGACAAACTATAATGATGTAACAATGTTTACAACATAGCAATAAGAAAGTATTTCAAAAAATTTTTTATAAGAAATAATAATTGTTAGTTATACTTTTCCTTTAGAGACATTCCCAACCTTAGATCACCTTGTAGGGTCTATATGTAACTCTACCATGACATACTGTTCATAAACTATAAGCTTAATAATGCTTTTGATGACCAATTTTTAAAAAACAGATACTTACTATAGACCGCTTGCACTCAAAAAAACTCTGTCGCAACTGCAAGCATTCTTCGGGTACTCTGCCTTCTTTTAAGCATTCTCGAGGCGTCTTTTTATCCTGAAATTAAGTATTCAAAGATTTATTACGGCTAAGTACTAAAATTAACTAAAATATTATATCATTGGACGCTCTTCAACCTTTTTGCAACAATCACTATTTAACAAACATGTTTTTAAATCAGCCCGAACACCAGCGCAAGATGTCTGGTCAACTAGTCCAATTTCATCAGGAGCAAAGGTAACCATTCTAATTAAGTTTTAAAGCAAGTTAAATTATTATGTATCACACATTAAAACAACGGACACAATTATTATCAACAACTTATGAGTTATGACATACAATATATTATACAATATAAATTATAACTTACTCTATGGCATGACTTCTGCTGGATTATTGAGTGATATTTATGAACATATCTGTCAATACCTTGCACTCTATAGTCTATAGAAATTTAGAAACGTCAATCACATAAAGAGTCAGGAGTATTATAAAAGAACATAGGCTGTGCACATACAGCTGATTATTGTTTTGGTTGATATTTAATAAAATCTCTAATTACTATAAAATGTATGGTTATGTGTTGTAGTTTGTAAAATAAAGCTTTGTTTAATAAACTATAACTAAAGACAAACAAGGGGTTTTAGTAGGCAAAACAAAACGCATAGTAAACGTAAGTTATTTTTAAAATTAGGAAAATAAAATGAGGAAACCCTTTTCTATGTTTATAAGAAATTTATCACACATTTGTAAATTAAAACCCTACAAGGAAACTAAATGGCTGATGCCTAACGGCAACCCCATTGGTGTGTTTGTTTATAATTGTGTAGCTGAACAAAAAGTTCCCATAATCTTAAATGACCCTAAAATTGCTACATGGTATTCCTGTGGCCCAACAGTGTATGATTCTGCACATATTGGTCATGCTTGCTGCTATGTAAAGCTAGATGTCATACAAAGAATACTCAAGAATTTCTTTAACATTAAGCTTGTCACTGCAATGGGCATCACTGACATTGATGATAAGATAATAAAAAAGGCCAAAGAAACAAATATGCATTACAGTTCTGTTGCTAAACAATATGAACATGAATTCTGGATAGATATGACCAGTTTAAATATTGAAAAACCAATGATTATATCACGTGTATCTGATCATATGATGACTATAGAAAAATTTATAAAAACTCTTCTTGATTTAAAGCAGGCATATGTTACTAGTGATGGATCTGTTTATTTTGATACATCAAAATTTCCATTATATGGGAAATTACAACAAACACACATTTTGGGTGATCCAACTAATGAATTAAAAAAGAATAAGATGGATTTTGCTGTCTGGAAAGGGTATAAACCAAGTGAACCAAGTTGGAGAACATCTTGGGGTGAAGGAAGACCAGGTTGGCATATTGAGTGTTCTGCTATGGTCAGTAAGATATTTGGCTCTCAGTTGGATTTTCATGCAGGTGGAATTGATCTAAAATTTCCACACCATGAGAATGAAGAAGCCCAATCTTGTGCTTTTCATAGCACTAAACAATGGGCAAACTATTGGATCCATATAGGTCATATGAACATGAAAGAGACAAAAATGTCAAAATCACTTCAAAATACTATATCAGTACCACATTTATTAGAAAACTACAGTGCTGATACTTTCAGAATGGCTTGCCTCTTGTCAAATTATAAACATCCAATGGAATATAGTGATGAAATGATGGACATGGCCCAAGATGTTCTTAATAAAATAAAATTCTTTTTAAAAGATGTTTCCTTTTATGTCAACTCTAGTGATTCAACAGGGTTGTATAATATTAAATTAATGAAAAACTTGCAAGATGTTGAAGAGAAAAATTTAATGGCACTCCAAAATGACTTTGATACCCCTACATGCATTCATTCTATGCTGAGTTTAATGGGAAATGCGCACATGGTCATGAAAATGGATACAACCAACTTCTTTCCTATTCCTATAGTTTTAATAGCTGAGTATGTACTTGATATGTTGTCAAAATTTGGGCTTGAATTGAAAGACACTTCAAGTAAAATAATCTCAGATTCTTTAATTGATACCTTAGTAGAATTTAGACATACTGTAAGGTCAAGTGCATTAAAAACAAAAGATAAAGAATTATTGGCGGCATGTGATTTAGTTAGAGATAATATGAAAGCAGCCAATGTGCAAATAAATGATAGTAAAACATCATCTTGGGTGAGAATTAAGTAATAAGTGTTTCATAATTGATTGATTTCTTGGAATTCATTTTGCAATAGCTTATAATAATACTAAGGGGAAAAGTTTCTTATGTCATGTTTTTTATAAAAAAATGCTACTCAGTGAAATTACGTATTATGAATATAAATTTGGACTGGAAATAAATAAAATATAAATCATTATTATAAATACTAATTTATTAATGGTTGTTTCAATTACAATTAACAGATCCTTTGAGTCAAAAATTTTGTTTTGAGGTCAAGTCATTTGTAGTTAAACACTGAAAAGTTTTCGTACACTGTTGTACAAGTTTTATTTTACAAATGCGCAAACCAAAATATTCAACTGGTATTTTTGAGTTGACTAGATCACATTGATCATAACAAAAAAATCAATGCACTGAAAAAGTTAAGTACTAAAATGTGAAAATATTCTAATTAGCTTGAACATTTTTGTCTTGTATTAAATTCTCAGCCTTATAAACCTTCCATGCAACCAGATAATCTCTGAGCATTTTGTAGAGTGAGTAATAATTAATAAATAATAATACAACAATGGACAAGAAGTAATGCCACACTATTGAACTGAATAGTAAACACAGTTGTAGCAATACTAATGATAGTTGTAGGCAAACCAGCAGACAAAGTAATTTTGAAGGATTGTTGAACACCGTCTGTAAAAGAAAAAAATCTTAATTGTATACTCTTATTTATTCCAAATGAAGTATATAAAATTACATTCTAAAATCCGAATGTATATACAGAAAACTCCGAATGTATGTATATAGAAAATTTGATGAAGCAAAATTTTAGGATTTTGTTAAGTTATTATTTCGATCTAGATAAAACTTTATTGATTACAATTAAATATATACTCTTATATACATTTTTTTATATAGATACTGAATTAAAAAAATTATAATATAATTTTATGCAGTAGGCACTTACATGAAATCTGACGTGGGCCATATATGTAGGGTCAGCGACCGTCGTGGTGGTTGCTACATAAACTTGGTTGCTGCTTCTGACCCGGGACCCTTGCGCCCAGAAACGATTCCCAGTCCATTCAGGAACATCACTTAATTCACTTGGCGCAGTACCTAAAAAATTGAGACAATTTGTTGGATTATGTCAGAGCATCTGTGCTGACCACGAATTTAGTATAGCGTGGGTTCGACTCCCGGTGAAATAATAATTCTTTGCCTTACTTAACTTCATTCTAGTTCCAGACTTACTTTCAGATTTCTAGACTTACTTTCAGATTTCTAGACTTTAATAAACTTAAACTTAAAAAATAAACTTAGTTTACGAGATAAATTAAATATTCTAATTTTAGAACCACTGGACTGTTATAATATATCCCATAGTTGAAATCCAAAAAAATCGCGTTTTTTAACACAATTTTACAATTATTTATTTTGAATTTAAAATCATCAATGTAATGATTGGGCGAGTGATACACATTGAAATGAAAATTCTTTACTGCATTTAAACGCGAATTCATAACGTTATTGAGGTTGTTTGCGGTGCCAAGGGCCAGAATCAATCTGTTGCACAGAGCTCCGTTAACAAAAACGTTGCGCAAATCGCAATAATAGATATGCGCACGGTATATCGTGTCTAATTAATATTATTATATTATTTAATTTATTGGCTAATTTTAAGTACTGATAGTAGTGTATGTATTTTTATAAATAAATAAAAATAAAAAAACTTGACGTTATGAGTAATAAGTAAGCTTAAGGACTTGAACAATTGATTAAATATGTAATGAAGTCACGTTTATAAGAACTTAAGAAGATGTATTTAAACATTTTCGATGTTTAGTGTGTTACAGCAAGGTAACTAACTAATTTACGCAATTTGTTCCGGTTAACTATTAATAGTTCTACCTTGCCGAAATGACATGGCTATTTGCAAATTAGTTAGTTTTTAGTTAATTCTTAAATAATAAATGTACGGATTGAAAAGAACTACAGTACTGTCACTGTTAAATGTATATTTAAACATACAAAGCATCAATCTCACCTTCCAACTTCCAAAGCCCCAAATGCCTGGCAGCTCTGTGCGGTGCGTCGCAGAAGGCAGCTGGAATCAATTGCGCTGCGTATCGCCCGCAAAGGGAACCCCAAACAAGGCAAACTTGTTGAGCGGCAAGTACCACGTCGTAGTACAGGAATGGCTGAAAAACGTTAACACTAAAGAATTTAACGAAAATTCTATAAAAAGTTAAATTATAGGGATAAAGGCATAGTTTAGTTTTATTAAAGTATGTAGTTTAAACGGCTATGGAATGCCACACTTATATTTGTTGAGAAAATCATTCTTAATCCTAATATAAAATTGTATTACCTGAGCAAAGCAACATGGCACAAAAGTTGTATAATATGCTCCTATTATTGAATGAAACAGTGTTTTTTTTACTCTTAAATTAAAGTCTTCTTTCAACATTTCAACTTCTGAACGGATTTGTTCAGGGTCATGAGAACAGCTGTGCATTGGTAATGTTTCTGTGTGATTAAGCTCTAGGAATGCATCTAGTTGAAAACCAAATAGCACAAAGTAGATTATTGATCTGGAATAAACAACATATTTTATTAATTTTTCAGAGAGCAAAACAACTTTGTTTTACACATGATCATTATGAATATAAAGCTACGTCATGAATCACACTATTGATTTTAATTAAAGAAACAGCAATGGGTCCCCGTATCAAGTCGGAAAATGCATATATTATCTATATAAAGGTGTTCCTTTTACTCGATTAGGTACAATACTTTTTAAATCATTGAAATCGGTAAATTTGTTGCGAAGATATTACACATATTGTACAAGCCAACCGCAGGGCGGCCGAAATGCTCATATGACGTCACGAGATCCCTACCGCCCGCGCTCTCGCTCTCCGCCATTCATTTATTAAATATTACTCGATCTGCGCGGGTCGTATTGTGGTTTTATGGTTTTTATGTGAAAATATGCCGCATTATAAGTACTGTATAGTACCGAAATGTACTAATACTTCAACTAGTACACCTGAATAACTGTTTTTTAATGTGCCAAGGGACCTGAAAGTGCGCAAAAAATGGTGTACTGTCATGAAGAGTGATGACAAAGTTCCGCTTTCGTGCCACACTGTAAGATATTGTTGCGAGGATCATTGTCATGTAAGTAGCTCCATATACCAACTATTATCATCATGTGGTAAACAGTAACTTAGTAAAAGTGACCTCAAAAATTGATTGTTTCGAGGTGCAAATTCAAAAACCAAGAAATGCCACACACCAGGCATTAACTTGGTCGCAATACAAAAATTGCAACACCATTAAATTTCTGATTTCCATTACACCTGATGGAATGATTAATTTTATTTCTGAGGGGTATGGAGGGTGGACCCCAGATTCCACGATCTTTGAAGACTGTGGGTTTCTAGATGAACTCACGCCTGGGAGTTTGGTTTTGGCGGTCAGAGGATTCAAAAATATAACTCATTTATTAGAAAGAAAACAGTGTAAGCTTTTAAGACTAGTGTGAGTTCAAGCTCAAAACCCAAAAAAGAGGAAGTGTTGCAAACAAAGAAGATTGCTGCGTTGAGGGTACATGTTGAAAGAAGCATTGGAAGATTAAGAGACTTTCAAATGGTTGGACCTCATGCAACTGTCAACATTTCTTATATTCAACTATTGGATGATATAGTGGCAATAGCCTGTGGTATTGTCAATTTGCAGGACTGTTTATTTAGAAGTATATCTTAGCCCAATAACATTTTTTTCTGTTGGGGATGGTTCCTCGCTTCGTCTGTGAAGCCACATAAGAAATGCTACACCGTGCTTACAACCTCCCAGTTGAGCAGCACAATCATGACACTCAATGTTTAGTATTATTTCTTGTGTAATTTATAAGCTAGTCCAAGTATGTGTACCTACCTACTTATTATCCTGCTGTTTTGATTAGTTTGATAATGAGATTTGCTTACCTCTAAAGTTTCCAACCACGAATTTCAGCGCTTGTAGTTTAAATGATTACTAAGATAATCAAATACCATGAAGGTATCGACTTAAGGTAGATTATCGGATTGCGCTTGCTCAAAACCGATATCTACTTACCTTATTTCTACCACTCATTTGTTATATTATAATAACAACCTTCTAATATTAAACAAATCAAATCACTTATTAATCGATTGGGTATAAACCGGTGACGTTACGCTCCGTGTTGGACGAGTATCGCGAACAGAATAAGGCGCGCTGTGGTTCGGCGGCAAGAGTTGAGATCTTGTGACGTCATCGCTTGCATTCGCGCGGTCAGTAAACCTTGTTCGGTATTTTGCCCATAACTTTGTCAGTTTTGGTTGTAGAACAAAATTTTTTGCACTTTATGTTTTAGTTTCTCAAGGACTATAAAACTGCATTTATAACATAAAACCATTACGGGGTCCCCATTATATAACTATATGACTATGAGAAATAGCTTTGTTTTATACTTTGCCATGAACTTATTGCCTAATTCACAATTTTCACATAAAAATTTGTTACAATACCTTGCAATTTCTTTTACAAAATTGATAATGAAATATAATACTTACGGGTAAATAAGATATATCATTTTTAAGAAAGGATATTTTATAAATAAATAGTATGTACTCCAACCCAGCATGCCAATGACTGAACCAAGAATAAACATTCTGAAATGAGACAAAATTTATGAAATATTATTCCTTTGTTATTCGTATTGCTTAAAACAAATATCTTTGTTTCAATGGAACTAAAAAATTATTCTTTTCATTCTGGATTTCCTCTAAATAAGTTAACCAAAAATTTTGCAGAATATTACTAAATTTACTAACCTTGCTGCTAGAATAACATGAGGCATCAATTTTGGTGCAACAAAAAGTCTCATAATGGCCACACTTGCACTTAATAATAACCTAGGACTTATTATGCCCAGTATGAACATTACTACATGTGGATCCACTAAGTGGAAATGCTGAAATATAATTTATGAAATTAAACATTGTTAGACCATAAGTTAGTTTAGAAACTACTCTCAAAGCCATTTAGATTTTTAAATTAATTAAATTCACCCAAATTGTAATTTAGTTTTCATGTCTTGAATTAAAAAGTCTAAATTATTACTAGGTTAAATAATTATTACTAACTTTATATTGATGTTTTAGTTTATTTTTAATTTTTTTATAGACAAGTATAAGCTTTGTGTGCTTTTTTTGAAGAAACACCAGTGGCCGTTACAATGCTTCACATTTTCACTCACTCACCATAGCTTGTGTTGTGTACGATGTTGGTAGCCACCAAGCTGTTCGATATAAATTCAAGAATTGTAATCCAGCTGCTACTGCCAAAAACGTAAAAGTCATAATCTCAAACAATAGTTCACCATCCTGTGGGATGTATGGGAATGGGATGTGTTTGGGTGTTGATGGGCCTTCAGATAACTTTGTCTCAGGAATTGGTGCATTTGATAGCAAACGAGTTCGCACACGTTTCCCATTTGCTAAGTCTTCATCTGGTACGGCCTGAAGTGAAAACAAGTTTATGATTAGATAACTAGAATATTATTACAGAAATTATAACATTCGCTAGTTTAATGTACCTTTTTTGAGCTTCCCGATAGCTTTTTAGGGGCAACCATTTTATTTGTTACAGGAGGTAAAGGACGCTTAATAAGAGGGTCTTTAATTATCTTCCGTCGTCGGGATATAGCTGTAGACGAGGTATTATTAACTTGCGAGTAGGCCCACCGGCGAGCCAAGAGTATAGTCAGACAGCCAAGAACAGCTGGTAAGAAGAATACAACAAAAGGTCCGCTTTCATCTTCGTCACAACTCATCACTCACATGATAAAATTTCACAATTATTTATTCGATGGTACCAGCTTACGATTATTACAACCTAATAATTAGCACTCGGAAGTTTTCATTTAGTATCTAGAGTCAAGATTTAGAAAAACAAATTATCTTAACACTAACAACAAGTCATACTTTCATGATCACAGACACAAATATTTAATTTATTAGTCTAGACTCTAGTAATCTACACCATAAACGTCAAAGTGTTTAAACTTAGGCAAAGGTACAACTACAATAGTACCCTAAACCCTTGTCTTACACCACAGATGTTTTAGTAATATGTTGCACAGAATTAAAGCCTAAGCGCTCATGCCCATGAGAGCTAAGCTACGAATTACGATTCGTCATTTCGATATGTATTTACATAAACTACTTTTATTATTATTGCAATTACTCTCTGTTTTCTTGTAATTTGTAACTCTATGCTAATTCTTAAATACCTTTAAAGAGGTTTTGAAACTTATAATACAATACAGAAGTTACAGATTCATTGAAGTTGGACTAGTGTACAAGTCGTCGGAAATATCTGCGAACCTGGCTTAATGACGTCATACAAACTGGAGAGATAGCAAAAAAATTGAAGATGTAAAAATAAAAAATATTTTATTTGTGTACTTATTTTTATTGATACTCGTACTATGTATAGTCCTACCCATCTTACATACAGCACTAAATAGGTAGTTTATGTAATATTTCACCAAACAGAGAAACAATAAACACTAAAATGCGATTACGAAAGCAAGAATAATACACGTGCGTCGGCAACGATTGCGTTGGCAACGGTACTGGATAGGCGAAAACGGGGCGGGGTGCGGGGAAGCGCATTCCAGCGAGGTTCGCAGATATTTAAGGCGCGTAATACGATGTAGAAGCCCAAATATGAGTGTTATAAGTTATTACTAATTACTTATTACTCAGTACTCTCAAGTTGTTTTTGACATACGGGAGTAATACTTGGCATTAATAGCTCTAGCAAGCTACTTTTTTGAGTTTTGACAGTTATTATTTAATCACTCGTTACTCGTATAACTTCAAACGCGCAATGTTGATTGTTGCACCGGTAAAAACATTAATCATTAATGTGAATACATATTTACATTTAGATTATACGTTACAACAAGTAATTACGTTTTAGGATTTTTTATAAAAACTAAACGCATTTACATTCCTAAAATTCATTACATATTATGTGTCTCAATGTGGCTTACAAAACAAATGCTTTAGTGGCGAAAAGTTACCAATATTATAAAATGAATATTGAGTGTTAATATTTAAAAGGACAATGAGTTTTGCAATACTTTGCTCATTCGTATTAGCCTTCTATGTTGTCATATGGTTTTTTGATTCCTTTTTTAAGGTAAAGCAAGTAAATTAAATATACAATGGGCATGTGTTTTAATGACACAGTTTATTATTTATTATATATTTTTCAGAGTTGTATGCATTACCCATATTATGCATTCTTGGAAGGAACAGGACTAAAAGTAGGATTTTTAAATTTAACTTGGACTACTGCAGCATTCAACCGATGTATATACAGATGGAGCAAAAACCTAACACGGGTATTACGGAAATGGTTTTCATTTGGTTACTATGTAACAGTTGGCTTGTTTTTACCATTTGCAGTATGGACTTTAATTTCATTTATTATAGAACACTTCAAAGAAACAATACAGATATCCAGTGTTCCTGAAGTGAAGGCAATGTTACCTGGAGTAAATATTCCAGCTTCAGACTTTTGGATATATTTTCTTGCAATTGCATCCAGCTCAGTTTTCCATGAACTTGGGCATGCTATGGCTGCAGCACATGAAGATGTTCAAGTAATTTCTGTAGGATTGTACATCTTTACTATAATACCAATAGCATTTGTTCAACTTAATACAGAACATCTGAACAGTCTTCCTGTAATGAAGCGTCTGAAAATTTATTGTGCAGGGGTTTGGCACAACTTAGTTTTAGCATTTTTTGCTATGGCAATATTCTTTACAGCACCAGTATTATTTAGTATTGCTTATGAAACTGACATTGGTGTAAGAGTTACAGATTTTTCATCAGATTCCCCATTGAAAGATGCTCGAGGTCTTGATAAAGATGATGTTATAAAATCTATAAATGCTTGTGATGTAAAAGACTCCTATGATTGGTCTTACTGCCTACATGTAGCTCATGACAGATTTGGAATATGTACTAGTGCAGAATTCATTGCACAAAATGATGAAATCATGATGGAAACTGTGAAGGAGAGTGGTGTTGTTGAATGTTGTAGAAAAGATGATTTGTACAGTATTTGTTTTGAATATATGGAGCCTAAGTTAGCAGTTGACTCAGTTTTGCCTGGTCAGTATTCTTGTTTAAAACCAAGAGATATGGTAAAGGAAAAATTAATTAAATGCAGTGAAGTTGGAGGATACACATGCCCAAGAAATACACATTGCTTAAAACCCTCTCTAAATAATCACACATACTTTATAATCATTGAAAGAAAAGACAATAATGCAGTGTTATTCTTAGGATTGCCATATGATATTTATAAAACTGTTTTTGTAGATCAATATTTTCCAAGATTGAGAATATTTTCATTATTCTCACCTATGCAATTTGAAAAACTTCTCAGATATATTTTTATTTTTACTATGGGTATTGGCTTTTTGAACATTATACCATGCTATGGTACTGATGGTCACCATATTGCAAGAAATCTTATTCAAATATTAGCAAAATTGTTAAACCAAAGTAGTGATTTTGTTACACTTGTTACATTATTTATTGTGATTGTGGGAACTGGGATAACTATACCAACGTTAATATACTTATTTTATAAAGCAATTTATTTAGATGAACTTGACTATTAGCAATTTAATATTGAAGATACCATGCAGTTTACTGATATAGTAATGATTAGGTCGAAATAAAATACTTAGACTCCAGGTTTATATATAGGTTTTAGGTAAATTAAACGCTGCATAATAAGGTTATGCTTATAAATAGCATCTACACTGGTAATAGTAATAATAAACTAAACTACATTTAAATTTGTTTCACTGTATTAACTTTCACTAAGGGCAAGTGATCTTTGGAGGTCCTTTAATGATTTCTTTCCATAATGTAACATACACTTTATGGATGTTTCGTCAGTACAATGCTTATTGCTTTTAAAATCTGTTCTTGCCCACTCTTTTAGTTCTTGACAAGTAGATGCATCAGGAATTTTCCTCAATGTGCGGAAGATTTCTCTGTATAGTTTTAGTACTTCCTGCCGAAGAAGAAACTAAAACAATAAAATTAAGAAATCTTCAGTGTACCACTATAATACGATTTATAGTTTGTGTCATATTACCTGTTTTAAGTTTAAGGCACTCTTTGGCAGTTTTGACGCCATATTCTTACAAAATTGTGGCAAACATTTATATTTTATTTCTGAGTTTTATGTTATTTAATAGAGCACCATATAAAATTTTATTTTTAGCCGTCTTTGACAGCTGTTATCACTGTTACTCAAAATCTTTCTCAAGTCTCAACTCAAAGTCATCTATCAAGTTACAATCTTCTTCGGGGCCTCATAGCCTAGCGGTCTTATTAAGTGGCAGCTAGGTGAGGGGTACCGGGTTCGATTTCCGGTTCGAGGGCAAGTTTTAATTTAATTTAAATTTGTTCTCGGCCTTTGGGAGGGTTGTGCGGTACCGGGCGAGTGCTTAAACCGTACATGGAGGACACGGTCGAATTTCTAAGGCAAGCACGAATTACAAAATTCTTATACGTCTTGACGCTGGCTAATGCACAAACCGTGCCAGAGCCATAAAAAAAAAAAAAAACTTATTGTGTGTTGCTCGCCACAACTTTACGTGGGGTCTAAATCACGTTTCACTTTTAGGAAATAATAAAATTGAAATGCTTGTTTCATAAAGCTATTAATATTTCATATTACCATATTTTCTGTCCATACGACAACTTTCAGAATTCGTCGTTTCCTTTGTGCCCAGCTCAGTGCTCACTTGGTTTTGGCTAGATGGCGTAAATAACTGTTATGCTAATCCTGACCAACTTGGTGATGGTACCAAGTGGCGCCATATTAATAATTTTTATTACCTACTTAATATATAAATGTGTAATCTTAGTTTTTAAATATTTCTCGAAATTGTTAACCAATCGCAGTAACATGTCGACGATTTACCGAAAGTTACGCAAATTTTATTAATTTAGAGATCAGTAAACTTTTGGTTGAGAAAATAATAAGACCTAGATTTTCACTGTGGAGAGCCCACGTGATTTGCACTTGCAACTACTAAATTATTTATTTATTAGAGGTACCATAAATTATCTATATATAACAAAAAAACTAAAGCTATAGCCAAAGATGGAATACATAATAAATACTTCCAAAAAGGTTCAAACATTTACGAAAGGAAAAAATCATAAGATAATAAGAAAGGAATGTGTACCTATAGACTACTCTCAAACAGGTAATAAATGCATGCACTTACCATTTACTGACGCATACTGCCATTTACTAAATATTGAAGATCTTATATCTAAAGTACCTATCTATTGAATTTACAGCAAAGTTGATTTAAGAAGTGCTTATTACCAGATTCCTATTTTACAAGCCGAAAGAGATTACACTGCCTTTGAAGCTCGAGGTAATTTATATCAATTTACTAGACTTCAATTCAAAGTCACTAGCGGCTAAAGCGGTTAAAGAAATTGAAATTAAAATGAAGAAAAAAAAGTTGAAATGTGTATAACGTAGGTATATGCTAAGATTATATAACTAGTATATGCAGAATTGATAGTTTACTGTCTTAGGATTATTCGCTCACTTCTCCGAATGGGTTCTAAAATTTTCTCAAAATCCGACCACTTGTAGATACTACTATCCCAGAGTATTTTCCCGTCAATTCCTGAAGCTGTCAACGTTTTCGAAACACTTAACGAAGTATAGCGTCGTGAGCTGTAGCTTAGCTTTATTCTCTAGAAGTTTAAATAATATCAAACAAATAGAGAAAGAAGCTGCAGCGTTTGTCTTAAAAATGGAGACAATTTTTATTTCAAATATTTAATTGAAAATTCAAGATTATAAAATGCTCTAACGCGTAATACAGCTTTCAGTTTATAATTTTGTTAAGTGACCAGGAAAGGAGAGGAGGAGAGGACTGATGCTTTATCTAGAGTCAAAGCTGCCAAAGTAACCTCAACATGTACCTCAGAAAAAGAAATCATACGTTAATTCAACTGGTTGTAACAAGAATGCTTCACTGGGTACGTGGTAAAAATATGGCATACTAGCTGGTGCCCGCCACTTCGTCTGCGCAAAATTTAAATAATATTTGTCCAAATGCCTGAAAGACATATTTTCATTTTGGAATAAATTTATTACTATCAAATGTGCATTTAAAATAATTATAAATTTTTATTGTAGTTATGGTTCACTATTTTGGCTATAACGGCTTACACATAATAAAAAAAAATATGTTTATTATGGAACATAAGATACATGTATCACTTATTCCACGTCATTAAATTTGAATTTGTAGACATCCCTACTCATCGGCAAAGAAGACAGAGGGTGTAGGCCGAGAGAAAAAGCCGGCGTAAAAAACTCTCGGTACTCTTTTAAAATAGCAAATCATCAAACAACACTTATTTTAAAACAAATATCGCAAATTAAATAGAGTGCCTAGTGCCTGTCTAGCACTAGTCTCAGGCCCTTTTATCAACTAGATAATCGTTGACTTTATAGTAAGCCTTTTTACACAGCTTTTCTTTAATACATTTCTTAAATTTATTGAAAGGCAGAGATAAAAGAGCCTCTGGGATTTTATAAAAGAAGAGTATCCCTTTCCCCAAAAAAGAATTACTAACTTTAGATAGTCTAGTACGGGGAAATTGCAGCCTGCGTTTGTTCCGTGTATTAACATTGTGCGTATGTTCTATTCTAGTAAACTTATCACTATTTTTGTATACATACATAATATTTTCATAAATATATTGCGAGGGAAAGGTAAGTATATTAATTTCCTTGAATTTATCTCTAAGAGATTCCCTACATTTTAAATTATAGTTTGCACGAATAGCCCTCTTCTGCAGGATGAAAATAGTTTCGACATCAGCAGCATGACCACATAATAATAAGCCATAAGTCATTAAGCTATGAAAGTAACTAAAATAAACAAGTCTAGCTGTATCGACATCAGTTAGTGAGCGAATTTTTTTAACCGCGTAGGCAGCAGAACTAAAGTCTTTTCGCCAATCCGTTAATATGAGGGGACCACTGAAGTTTTGAATCCATGGTGATTCCGAGAAATACAGTTGTATCATCCAGATTCAATTCCTCACCGTTTATAATTGGTCTAGTATCCATAAACCTTGCATTTTTTGCACAAAATTTAATGCATTTTGTCTTTTTTGCATTAAATAGAAGGTTATTCATACTAAACCAATGGACAATCGAAGATAGAGCATTGTTCAATATATAGATATATACACTTTTTGTAGAACTATTTAAGATAAACATTTCCACCATAAGTACATTACATATTATGTATGATTGCTCTTGGTTTGAGAACTGGCACTAAATGTAAAGTTAGAAGCATTTCATATACATTTCTTTTTTTTGACGATCATAAGTGTACAATGTGTTACCTATATGATTAAATGATTTTTGAATTTGAATGTGTAACTCTAGCGGTTTTGGCAGCGCACGCCAGAATAGCTCGCAGATTGTAGATTTTTTTCCTTCTTGATATTTTGGACAATTCACACAATATCTTTATAAATTGTGGCCTATGTGTTATTCTGCTATATATTTGTATATATATAGCCATATATGTTTGTAAAGTTTCATTAAAATCCACTTTTACGTGAAGTAATAACAAAAATCCATCCATACTTACAAACTTTCGCGTTTATAATATTATTAAGATTCCACTGATGATCAAACGAATTATTTCTAATTATCCTAAATGTGCAGAAATCAAACTTTTAGAAAAGAAGTATCCTACAAGGGCCACTTCCAATAGAATTAAATCAAATCGTTACATCTTGACTGTTGACAATTATTGTAATTGATTACTCAAGGTTTCCAGTGGATTATCCGTGCTCTGACTTAAGTACAGCAATGGTAATCAAGAAACTGACTTATTTTTTATGTTTGGTTTTCCTTCTTACGTCCACTCCGATAGAGGAACATATTTTTATAAAAAAATTATAGATTTTGTTAGTCAGGGAAATAGTCCTTAACTAGTCACTTCATGATATACGGTCGCTTCACTGGATTCTACTACTCATGAATGTTTTTCTCTCACCCTAGACGATCTACAAATGCCTAGTCAACACATCGTTAACTATTCCAGGATTAGCTTAATGTTGAAACCATGACAGAAATAAGTCAGTATGATTCACTAGTGAAAGGAGTTGAATTAGTTGAAAACAATCCTCAGCACTACTGTATGAGATTGTCTTACTTTTTTGCCGTGATCGTGAAAGAGATACAAACAGCTCGGACAAAGAAGGAGCTAGTGAGATAGTGACGTCGCCAGATAAAGAATTTCGTTGTTCTGAATGGAACACGCCGGCAGCGGCATCTTAACGACAATTTTCGAATAAGCTGAGGCGACTGTAAAACTAAACACTCTTAAGTCTACAGCAATAAAGAAATATTAGACAGTTTCAAAAAGCTATTAATTAGTCATGTCCATTGAATAAAGCCAACTTTCTAACCGGTTTTTTCTTAAAGATATATTAAATTTGTTCTTGAAATTAAAGGTAGTGCTGTTATATATGCTCTATTTGACTATAACCTACTTACTTATAGACACGTCAAATAGTAAATCTATTTCCTTCGATATTTGGAGTCGGTCAAAAATACTGTATAAATTGGCGTTTGTCACAATCAACAATAATTTATACTTAAAGAAAAAACTTTTTACCGGATTAAAGTTATGTATTATTATAAATTTACAATTATTTAACATATTTAATTTAAAATAATACATAACTTTAATCCGGTTTTTTCTTTAAATGTGTAAAGGTTATGTCAATCAAAGACAATACAATAATTTGTACTGTTTAAAATTTGAGTAGAAGTATACCCGGTGTATTTTTATAATCTAACATTATTTAAAATCTTTATTATAAAACACATTTTGATTTTAAACTTTTACGGTGTTTTTTTAATAAGTTATAAGGAATTCAATAGATCTCCTTAATTATTTAACAAACTATTATGCCTACAAAAATATCGTCTAGTTAGAATGGAAACTAATGCGTTTAAGTTCACCGTATACCGTGGACTGGGTTTGATACGCGGCAAAACTATTGTTTCTTGTCGAAATACTTCATAATTGGGGCGTTATGTCACTTATTAAACAACATCCAATGATCCGAACGACTAGAATTAAAATTATTGTTTACTTAAACTTTTTCACCTAAAAAACTAAACGTGAAATGAATCGACCCTTCAAATGTAAACAAAAATAATCTTCAAATTCATGTTTTACAGCTATCAAAGATCTATCTTAAATCTTAATATTTGCCAATTGCCTCCGCAAGTTTAGTTATTTTACATTTAAATTTACCTATTGTTAACGACAATTTCATATTTTATATATTAGTAACTATTAACTAAGTACATTGTAATAATATATATACCTTGATAATACCTACACGAGTATGGTCTTGAAAGGAGCTGATAATTTTATTAATAACGAGTAAGTGAACACTTACACTTTAAATTGTATAATAGCAGTCGTTCCGTTAATTACTTATTATTATGATATAAGTTTACAATGTTTTCCGCCCAAAAGCTCTTTCTAAAGCTCCGCCCATTCACCTGACGTTTAAAGCTTTACGCCCTCAAAGCGATATGCTTTACTTTTGTCTACACACAGCTCACTTCAGTGACTACTGACTACAGTCGCGCTACGAACACAAAGCGCGCTAGTCGCGAGTAGGGTGTTACAAGTTTTAATGTTTACGGACACATTCAACTTACGTTACAACTTTTTGTAAACAAACTTCACGTGCTGGTGGTTTTATGTGATAAAAATGGACAAAACATCTAAAATTTCTACGTCTCCTACTAGAGCACCTGTAAAAAAGGAAAATGAAGAAGAAATTAAGGTCAGTTTTATATTAATTTGAAAACAAAAGATATTTACTATTTATCTTATATTTTTGTTCAATTCAGGGTTATATATAACGTGGGACTGGCATACTGCCTGTTTTATCTTCGTAGTATTGTAAGTAATAGAAGACGTGTCGTATTTTTAAATATGATACCAGACATGCCAAAATATTTAGAGCTGTTCCTATCGATTTTTAAATATTTTTTTAGTATATAGTTTCAATATTAATTAAATTTTGCAATGTACAATAACGCGTGTAATATAACGTTTTCGAGGCCTTTTCCAGCCATTAAAGTGTGTAATGCGATATTCGAAGCGCGCTCGGATCGCTGTAACCAGAGACGTTGGATGTTTTGATAATAGATATAGGTGTTGCCACTGTGTGAGTGTGTACGGATTGGTTACGTTATACGTGTGCGTGCGGGGTAATTTTAGACGTTCCTTTGCTCAAAATGAAACGTGAGACCGTCCCAGGCCACAAGTCGACGCTACAATTTATTGTTTACACCTGATTATCAAATGACATTTATTATCGAGTAAGTAATACGCAACATTTAGATTGCATAAAAGAAGTAATATAGGTATAATGCCTGGCGGTAAATCGCGCGCTTTTATTTGGCATTACGGAAATAGTTTCAGATGTCAATAACCCCATTGGTGACCACGCGGTGATAACGTCACGGGACTCGCGACAATTTGTAGCGAATGTTTGAGGTCGTTTTAATTTATGGCGTTACGTGTCTAGTGTCCCATTTTTCCGCATTTTTATGTATTTTATTTTATTCTTAGAACGTAAAAATACATTTTATAATGAAACAACGTCAAAATCTTATTTTTTTAACTACGTTCGGAGTGTGTTATTATTAAATAGTAAGAGCAAACAACAGACAGATGATTTTAACCAAGATAGCCTTATTTTGATTCCCAGCAGAACAATTGTTTTGGGTCAAAATAAACTTACTTGCCAACTTCAATCAAAACCTAATATGTGGAATCACACATTTATTATTTATTTTTTTGTTATTTGTCACACAAACATAAATACCTGCCAACCTTATTGTACTAAACAGTTGTTGTTTGTTTAGTTGTTTTCAAAACTCATATCGGTAAAAATCTGCCGATTCAAATTGAATCCAAATTGTTAAAAAAATGTTTATATGAATATTTTGATTATTGAATGTGTATTTAGTAATAACAAGACATTTTATCTGTTTAACCGTTTAGATTTGTTAAAATAATTAGCTTTCTGAATATGAAACCATTAAAGCTAAAACCGTGCTAATCACATTAACAGCGTAGCTAATTGCGCTACGGGTTTCTACCAGTCCAATTGCCTTTCTTCGTTTTATGAGTCTGAAAATTCCTAAACTATAGGCAATGGACTCCTCCATATAAAAATCTAACTCCGAGTTGTTTTTTCGCGTGTTAACCGGTTGAATTACATTCGATTTATATGCAAATAAAATATGAAAATGCAACGTTCATCTCCATTATTTTCACATGCATGACATAGCTTCGATATTCTGGAATTTGAAATTTCAACGATAGCATGCGAAACTCCGGTAATAGCCGTCAAGACGAAACTAAAATCGTGAGCATACAATGTTATGGTATTACGTTACTCGAAGAATTCGAGATTTAAAGTAAACTATATCTTAAATGCATCCGTAAACAACGCTTTCATTTTGATGCTTTTTATTGACGTATGACTAAAAGCATAGATTTTAAAAACAGAACGCGACAAGGATCAAATTATTGGTGTACAAAAGTCGTGTTTAGTAATTCGTGTTACGCTAGCCCTAGACGGACCGCATGTTGCAGTCGATACCGACTGCTCTAAGCGGTCGCCGCACGGCGAACTGCAGTTTCCATACTAAATTCATATCCGCCATACACGGACTGCACGACCAATTTCTGAGCGGTCGGAGCAGTCGCTCTGCGGTCGAGTTTCGCCGTGCGGTCGACTGCTTAGAGCTGCCGGACCCACCATACACGGACCGCTACAAGCGGTTGCTGCCGACCGCGCGCCACTCCATCAAATAAAATAAAATACTAACTAATTCATCAAATGAAACCACTGGCTGCTGGTGATACAAAGTATTAAATATTCCATGCTGTTCTCTTGATTCTAGTATTGGACGCACCCACATACTACGGTGTCTTTTACGCCTACGCTTGCGTTATAGTAGTACAAGTAGCAGTGTTTCTTCATCGAAATCCATCTTGTATATGAACTCGCATCAGTATTATTTTGCGGTCGAACACAACTGCTCCAAGCAGTCGTAGCCGACTTCAACGCGACCGCTCTAGAGCAGTCGGTCTCGACTGCAACATGCGGTCCGCGTTAGGTAGTTAGGTAGTTTTTATAAGTCCAAGAAAATAAGATACCATGAAGACGTAATCTTTCTAATTGAAGAATGTTTGTATGAAAAGAGCTGCAGTTTTCGCTTAAAGGAATTTCAAGATTTTCATACACAACGAGACTGTGCTTTTGTGAGGACCCAGTTTTCTTAGAATTTCATATAGCGAATTGGATACCGTAAATGTTTGTGTTACTTAATTGTATAATCTGAAAAGTTATAAATTTTGTTGAATTAAATATGTTTTAAATATAATTAGGATTAAAGCATAGATTACAACATCTGTAAGTCATAATGCAACATTGAACCTAAATAGAATGTTTTCCGCGTGCACTTTGCACGTCAGCGACATTGCAGCGCACGCGCATATTGGGCCAAGGTCGCTCGTCTGTTGGCCACGTAACCTTAATATTATAATCGAGTTTTCTCTTATCATCCTTCATGGAAAAATCCAGTAAACGGTGTCTCTAATCCGGCTGATTGACTCCGAAATTATATTCACAAATACATATCTATCTATTTACTTATACTCGGGCTATACGGGCTCGGCTTATACGTTATTGCTTGAGGTTACCTCATGAGTTCTAAGGAAGATACTTCGTTTCTTCGTTCAGAAACGTGACGTATTTCAAAATTAAAACATTCTCAAGGCAGTTTTTGCCGCGCACCACCACTATGGAACCTGCTGTCCACTGAAGTTTTTCCGAACCAATTCGACTTAGGGTCCTTCAAGAAAAGAGCGTACCAATTCTTGAAATTCCGGCAACGCACTTGCGAGCCTTCTGGCAATATGAGTGTCCCTGGGCGGCGGTATCACTTAACATCAGGTGACTATTACATATCGCTCTTATTACAAAAAAAAACTATACAATTTTGACATTAGATTCAGACATAGTGATAATAATAAATGCCGTATATTAAATCTAATACTGTTTACATATTGCAGTCATGTAAGACATGAATGTTGAAGTCACTAAACGAACTCTTTGAAATCTTTAATTAACCTTCCACGAGTATTTTCTATCGTAAATTATAATACAATTTATTTGATATTAATAAAATAAATTAAATTTAAACATCGACGTGGTAATATTTAACTAACTCTTCATTCTTATGATTGCCACTACTGAGTATCAGCAGAATGTCTGTAAAACTGTTTACTAATGATTGTCATGAATTATCTGAAATAAGCACTATAATTGCCGATTATGACGTCATCTAACGACCAGTTTTCAGGTCTAGTCGCACCTTGAAACTATGTGGTACGAAAACCAAGTATAAATATTGGCATCGGATGGTCATTTTAAGTAATGCGCAGATTGAATACAAAGCCAATTAAATTTTCCTTTAAATTAAAGTACAGACTCGCTGAATTAAATATTTTTATTTAATATTATTTAGTAATTGCTAATGTGAATTATTTATAATTAGCAGTAAAGAAACAAGATAAACATGGAAAAGCGAGATGGGCATGGATCTTGGAAGATACCTGATAGCCAGTTGTAATTGACACCCGACGATGCCTTTGCATTGTATGTTCATCTTCTCAAAGATTAAATATTAGATGTTTACTCACGTTTTGTAATCGACACTGGATGTCCTTCAATATCCTTTTAAAAAAAATTTGCGAGTGTATTTAATATCTATTAAATAACTAAACAAATTAATTCTTATGTTTATGTTTTTATATTTAAACTCGATTACTTCAAAAATGCCAAAAATTAAAAAAACGCCAGTCTTTGAAATGGACATATAAACTTTTAATCGCTAAGTCAGGTTAACTTTAGTTTATAACGAAATCAGTAAATTTTCATTTAACTAAAGTAAGAATATATTATCTGTTTCTGTATTCTGTGTACCCAATTTGACAGAATGAGACGGTTCTCTATTTAAAAGGGTGCAAATAGATTAATTTAGTTTTTATGAATTAGGGGCGTAAATTTACAACTTATATATATAAGTCTTCATTCATACAAAAAATAGATAAAGATTTAAGTAGGCGCTTGGAAGATATTACTGGTGAACCCAGAGCTGGTGCTTTCCTTGCTCAACGAATAAGTATAGCGAGGAAATGCTGCCAGCGATAAAGGTACCAAACTTTTTAAATTTGTTATAGTTATCTTTTTATTAATTTTATTTTCACTATGTAGGTTAAGAAAATTGTAAACCCTGTATATTTGATTGTTATTATTACTAAAAATATACGTATTCATTTCGGAAAATAACAACACGCACATTTTACAAGACTATATAAAAAGAATTCAAAGCAATTGAAGTACATATATCATTTTAATGAATGGTGCAGTGTTATTCATAAGGGGATAAGCCTTCTTTACTTTCTGGAACAATTATATATAGCTTGGCCGATATCCCCAACGCGATATTCGATAACTAAGCGACGGACGCCGTTTATAGAATTTTCTATATATTTTATTGATTAAAACATTAAAAATTGAAACCCACGTGAGCTTGTTATAGTGGCATTATTCTGTGACAAGAATTAAATTAATAGTAGGTACTTTGTGAGCATAGGGAATATAATATGAAAATATTATCGTGTCTGCAGGTGCTTGAATGAAACATCCTAGGTCCGATTACAAGTACGGGGAAGGTATTCCTTTATTTATTTGTAGTA